TTCAATGGCATTCGTTTGGATTGTTCGTTTAATACTGACTCTAATATCAAATTTAACCATGCACACACAAACATGTATTACATTCAATAGACAGATAAGTACTGCAATTCCGTTTTGCAAGTCCCCGTTTGGGAAAACAGCAGGATATAAATATAAAGCAAGTGATGATTTATTCAATTTGCCGGATTGGAAACTAAAGGAGGTTCCTGTACCTTTAAGGGCTGTGTTTATTGTTTTCGATTTCAAATATAGCCACACAGAAATATATCTATATACCAACCTTGCAGTTTGAAAACATGGAAACGTGAGTAAATCAATAGGTACCGCTTCAGCGGGAAGGTAACAGCTCTCCATGCACTCATGCCGGCCACATGACCTTGGAGGTGTCTATGGACAACGCAGGCTCTTCGGCTTAGAAATGGAGATGAGCACCAACCTCCAGAGTCGGACATGACTGGAGTTAATGTCAGGGGAAAACTTTACCTTTATCTCATTTCTCTACTCAACGCTCAGCTGTTTTCAAACCGCTTAGGTGGACAGTAAGCTAGGCTTAACAGTCGGGTGCTCAAGCCGACTCGGGCTTCTAACTTGCTACTTTTCGGTCAGCAGTTTAAAGTGGGGAGGTATTTTATGACCCCATAAAAATGTCAGGAATCAAAGAACAAGGAGGGAATATGATCAAAATGACTCGTGTCATAGTGGATTGAGCACCCGACTGTTAAGCCTAGCTTACTGTCCACCTAAGTGGTTAGCAAACAGCTGAGCTGTGAGTAGAGAAATTAGGGACTGCTTAAAGTGGGGTGGTATTTTACGACACCACAAAAACCTGCTGAATTTATTGACTGAAAGGTCATAGGTTCGAATCCAGGGCGCAGCATGAGCGCCAGGTGTTAGCTCCAGCTTCTGCCAACCTAGCAGTTCGAAAACATGCAAATGTGAGTCGATCAACATCCCACTTCAAAGAGAGAGAAGTGGAATATAAATATGATCATATATAATAATGAGAATATAATAATAATATGATGATAATTATAATAATGCAATAATAATATAAGAAGAATATAATAATACCACAATACCATAATAATATAGTAATAATAATGGTAATGATAAGCATGAAATAATAATATTAATGTCTATATGGATATAAAGATGATAATATATTAAAATAATTATATATATGTATATATACACAGATACATACATAAAACTGAGCCAAGGCAGAGCTGCTTTGAGCCACTTCAAAGAGAAAAAAGTGGGATGTAAATATAATCATATATAATAATGAGAATGTAATAATAATATGACAATGATAATTATAATACAATAATGATATAAGAAGAATATAATAATACAACAATACCATAATAATAGAGTAGTAATAATGGTAATGATAAGCATGCAATAATAATAATGTCTATATGGATATAAAGATTATAATATATTAAAATAATTATATAGATATAGATATCTATCTATCTACATATATATCGATAGATATATAATATACAAATATAATATGCTATCAATAAGAATATAATAATGATGATGATAATGACAATAATATAAGAATATAATAATAATAATACAACAATCATGCAACGTCAACAATATAGTAATACTAATTATAATGATACAATAGTAACGATTATTTATTATGTTGATATAAATATTATAATATCTACCTGTATAGATAATCAATATATCAATATAATGTTGATAAATGCGACGTCAACAATATAGTAATACTAATGATAATAATACAATAATAGCTATTATTTATTATATTAATATAAATATTATAATATCTGCCTGCAAAGGTATTAAATATATCAATATATATACTATGTAACAATACAATATATATGTATATATATATATATAAATGCTCTGTGCGTAATGAGTACCTTAAAAACAAAAGAACTAATGAACAAAATCACACCAAATTTGGCAACAAAACATCTCGCTACACAAGGAGTGACCATCACTAGGGGACCGCTAGTATAATATAATAATATAATAATAATGCTGATAATTCAGAAAAGGCAGAGGAACCAGAGACCAGATTGCCAATATCTGGATGCTGGAGAATGGAGAAAGGCAGGGAGTTCCAGAAAAACACCTATTTCTGCTTCATTGACTATTCTAAAGCCTTTGACTGTGTGGATCATAATAAACTGTGGCAAGTTCTTGGTGGGATGGGCATCCCAAGCCACCTTGTCTCTCTCCTGAGGAATCTGGACAAGGACCAAGGAGCAACAGTCAGAACTGACCACGGAACAGGAGACTGGTTCCAGATTGGGAAAGGCGTACGGCAAGGCTGCACTCTCACCCAACCTATTCCACTTGTATGCAGAACACATCATGAGGTGCGGGGCTTGAGGAATGCAAGGCTGGGGTGAAAACTGCTGGAAGAAACATTAACAACCTTAGATATGCAGATGACACCACTGATGGCCGAAAGCGAGGAGCTGAGGAGCCTTCTAATCAAGGTGAAAGAAGAAAGCGCAAAAGCTGGGTTGCGGCTAAACATCATAAAAACCAAGATTATGGCAACAAGAATGATTGACAACTGGAAAATAGAGGGTGAAAATGTGGAGGCCGTGACAGACTTTGTATTTCTAGGTGCAAAGATTACTGCAGATGCAGACTGTGGCCAGGAAATCAGAAGACGCTTCCTTCTTGGGAGGAGAGCAATGTCCAGTCTCGATAAAATAGTAAAGAGTAGAGACATCACACTGGCAACAAAGATCCATTGCCTAGTCAAAGCCATGGTCTTCCCTGTAGTCACCTACAGATGTGAGAGCTGGACCTTAGGGAAGGCTGAGCAAAGGAAGAGAGATGCTTTTGAGCTGTGGTGTTGGAGGAAAGTGCTGAGAGTGCCTTGGACTGCGAGAAGATCCAACCAGTCCATCCTCCAGGAAATAAAGCCCGGCTGCTCACTGGAGGGAAGGATACTAGAGACAAAGCTGAAGTACTTTGGCCACATCATGAGGAGACAGGAAAGCCTGGAGAAGGGAATGATGTTGGGGAAAGTGGAAGGCAAAAGGAAGAGGGGCCGACCAAGGGCAAGGTGGATGGATGGCATCCTTGAAGTGACTGGACTGACCTTGAAGGAGCTGGGGGTGGTGACGGCCGACAGGGAGCTCTGGCGTGGGCTGGTCCATGAGGTCACGAAGAGTCGGAGACGACTGAACGAATGAACAACAACAACAACAACAAATGCTGATAATTATAATAATATAAGAAGAATATAATAATACTATAATAATAATAATTATAATAATATAATAATAACGGTATGTTTTAATGATAGAACTAATTAGGAAATGGCATTGATAACTCAGGATCAAAAATCGTGATACATAGTATAATAATGGTAATAATAATGATGATATCCTCATCTAGGGCAACGTCCGCTTTGCCACCAACGGCGAGGAGATGGAGGTGGAAAATGCGGAGCTGGTGTCCCTCCTTGCGGATCTGACCTCCACGGGCTCCGAACATCTCTCGAACTCGCTCCTCTATCGGACGGTGGCCGCGGGGGGCGCAGAGGTCATCCAGAAGGGCCACAGCATCAACGAGGCCAACTATGCCCGAGACGCCTGCGCCAAGGTGACCTTAGAAGTACTTGACCCTTTGAGGAGAACCACAAATCCCTTTGTGTAGTGTAGACCAGATGTTGGCCAACTTAGGCCCTCCAGGTGTTTTGGACTACAACTCCCGGCGGTTAGGAATGGTGGGAGTTGCAGTCCAAAACACCTGGAGGGCCCAAGTTGGGTCATGCCTGGTGTAAAGCCAAGACCTTGTCAAACTACATCTCCCAAGCTGTGCCTCTCCTCCCCTTCAGGCCATCTACGAGAGGCTGTTCTGCTGGATCGTGGCCCGCATCAACGCCGTCATCGAGGTGAAGGGCTATGACGCCCGGATCCACGGCAAGAACACGGTCATCGGCGTCCTGGACATCTATGGCTTTGAGATCTTTGACAATAACAGGTAGGGCGAGGGGCCTTCACCCAGGAGGAAATGCCAAGCCTTTGGTGGAGGACTAGCCAGGACGGGGTGCATCTACATTATAGAAGGACTGCAGTTGGACCGTTGTGGCTCAACGGGATTGGGATTTGTAGTTCAGTGGGGCGCCAGCCCTCTTTGGCAGAGAAGGCTGAAGGCCTTGTAAACTAGAATTCCAAGGAATGAAGGAAAGAAGGATGGAAGAAAGAAGGGAGGGAGGGAGGAAGAAAGGAAGGGAGGGAGGGAGGGAGAAGGAAAGGAAGGAAAGTAGGGAAGAAAGGAGAAAGAAAGAGGAAAAAAGGAAGGAGAACAAGCAAGCAAGCAGACTAAGAAAGGAAGGAAAGAAGGAAGGAGAGAAAGAAGGCAAGGAGGCAGAAAGGTGGAAGGAAGGGAAAAAGGAAGGATGGAGAAAAGGTGGAAGAGAAGGAAGGGAGGAAAGAAGGAAGGAAGGAGTAAGAGAAGAAGGCAAACAGGTTGGAAGGAAGGGGAGAAGGTGGAAGGGAAGGGAAAGGAAGTAAGAAGGAAGGAGAGAAGGAAGGAAGGGAAAAAAGTAGAAGGGAAAGAAAGAAGGAAAGAAGAACAGGTAGAAGGAGGAGGAGAAAGAAAGAAGGAAAGAAAGATGGCAAGTAGATCACTGGAAGGAAAGGGGAAAGGAAGGAAGGAAAAAGGCAAAAGAAGACAAGGAAGGGAGAAAGGGAGGGAGGAGGAAGGAAAGAAGGAAAGGAAGGAAGGAGGAAAAAAGGAAGAAAGTAGGAAGAGAAGAAAGGAAGGAAGAAGAAGGAAAGAGGAAGGAAGGAAGGAAGGAAGGAAGGAAGGAAGGAAGGAAGGAAAGTAGAAGGGAAACAAAGAAGGAAAGAAAGAAGAGGAGAAGGAAGGAAGGAAGGAAGGAAGGAAGGAGGAAGATAGGTAGAAGGAAGGAGAGAAGAAGGGAAGAAAGTAGAGAAAGTAGAAGGAAAAGAAGGAAGGAAGGAAGGAAGAGAAGAAGAGAAAAAAGGAAGAAAGAGAGAAAAGAGGAAAGGAAGGAAGGAAGGAAGGAAGGATATAGGAGGGAGTAAAAAATAATATTAATGAATGAATGAAAGGATGTAAATTAGAAGATACACAAATAAGTGAAAGTGAAATAAATGTGAGAAGGAATGAAGTATAGTAATTTTTAAGGTATGTAGGAAGAATCTAAGGTTGTTAAACCAAAGCCATTACGAAATAATAAAGAATGAAGTAATGAAGGAATTCATTACATACTAATTAATCACATTAGACTTTAAACGAAAGAATGACAGAAAGAATATTATCAGGTGATATATGAAGTAAGGATGGAAGAATGGAAGTAAGTTATATGAAGTGAATTTAATCATGAATGTAATTAGGACGATAATGTAAGATGAAGTAGATATAATTCAGAACATTAGAGGAAAGTAGAATTACATTCATTAAGTCTATAACTTATAATTTCATCAAGAATTCCTCACTTAAGCTTACAACATTCTTGACTTGTCACTTCACTTCGATATAGTCATTAATAAATTAATTTAATTTCATTAATTATTTCATTGTGTCTTAACTAATGTCAATTAGTCAGATATATGTAAAAGAATTTTACGAATTTAAATTTAATCAATCGAAGGTAAATGGAAGCAAGCAAGGTAGAAGAAAGGAGAGAAGGAAGAAAAGGAAGGAAGGAGAGTGTTGAAGGAAATAGCAATGGAGGAAGGAAAGGTGGAAGGAGGGCTGGAGGGTCCCCGGCCAGCCCCTGAGCGTCCTCTCTTCCCTGTGTGCCTCTCCTTTGCAGCTTTGAGCAGTTCTGCATCAACTATTGCAACGAGAAGCTGCAGCAGCTGTTCATTGAGCTGATCCTGCAGCAGGAGCAGGAGGAGTACCAGCGGGAAGGCATCCAGTGGCAGCACGTGAGTCCCAGCTGGACAGGGATCGGGGCCACACAGCACGGTATTACAAGCATTACAGCAATAATGTAAGAAAGAAAAGCAGAATAATAATACAATAATACTATCACAATAATAATAATAATAATAATAATAATAATAATAATAATACAGACATAATAATGATAAGGATGGACAACAATTACGGTAATATATATAATATTTAAATATTATAATAATTATATATAGAAAGATAAAATAAATCAATGTAATATCTATAAGCGTATAGGAATAATGACAATTATAATAATAGTACAATAATAATAATAATAATAACAATAACAATAATACAAGAAGAGCAAAATAATAATACAACAACAACAATAATAATCTATATAAATCAAAATGTAATGTTTGTTTGTGGGATTAACATAACTCAAAAACTACTTGACTAATTGACACCAAATTTGGACACAATACATGTATCAGACCAATGAGTGACCACCACTCACAAAACCACTGAAAAACACAGCAGAAGAGACTTAAAAAGGGAAAGAATAAAAAATACATTACAACGCATGTGCAAAACCACATGTATAAGTGCAAACATATGTATATATATCTCAGGAAAGGAGACAAAGAGAGATCCTGAGATCTGAAAAGCACAGCTTTTATTTCCAGCTGGGGCCCTGGAGTGGACTTGCATCCCAAAAGCAAATCAGAGCCAATGAAATAGGGGCGGACTGTGGCTTTTATAGATTCCAGGTTCAAGCCAACAAAGAACATGCTATTACATACATTTACATCATTCACTGCATCGTCTTAGCATCAAATTCTATCTTTCTAACATGCAAAAAGCATGTCTCTGTGTTTCTAAAGAGCAAGCATGGCTTACGCTCATCAATAAAGGGGCCCACTTGGACTTGTCAGGCGAGGGGGGGCATTGGCTCTTCCCTTAGAGCCTAGATGTACCAGCCTGTGGCTCCTATTACGGGCTTATCTCTCTCTCCTGGAATGTCCCCCTCCCTCTTGCTGTGCCTGGGACGTAGCTTGCTTCAGCATTCTTTCTATACAGAGAGAGAGAGCTTGATTTTTCTATGCATATCAGTAATTGTAAAATACATACAATTTATACATAAATAAATATCTATTTTTCCAATATCTCCTCATCACAGACAAATCAATACAATAAGTTGCCAATACTATCCTCTGCCTTCCCGTTTCCTCAAACGTCCCGGTTCCTCACCCTTCCTCCCGCCTTCCCCCTTCATCATCATGCTCTCGCTTCAGCTGCTGCCCACCTTTCTCTCCTGGCTTCCAGATCGACTACTTCGACAACCGGATCATCGTGGAGCTGGTGGAGGAGCCGCACAAGGGGGTGGTGGCCATCCTGGACGAGGCCTGCTTGACCGCTGGCAGCGTCACTGATGCCCTCTTCCTGGCCTCCATGGATGCTCGGCTGGGCAAGCACCCCCACTACGCCAGCAGGAAGGTGGGCAGAGACGACTGACCCTCCCAGCTTCCCCCAGCCAGAGGGTGGACAATAGGAGTGGGTGTCCAAGCACACTCAGGTTCCCCAAAGCCTGGTCCGCACACACGATGCAATGATGGCATTACGGTTCTGTTTCAAATGCCATGAGGGTCTTCTGTATGGACCGCCACCCCCAGAATCCCCAGCCAGACTGTGGACGATGAGAGCGGCAGTCCAAACATGCTCAGGTTCTGAACTCCCAGGCTCTTCTAGCATTGTATTATGGAAACACCATATGGTGGCTCTTCTTTTTGGACTGCCCTTCCCATCATCCCCTGCCAGATGGTGGATTATGGGAGCAGCAGTACTTCTCTGAAGCCTTAGCATCACGGTTCTGTTCTGAATGTCATGGAAATATATCCAATGAGAGGGGAGGGGGTCTTCTTTGTGGACTACCACCCTCAGAATCCCCAGCAAGACTGTGGATGATGGGAGCAGCAGTCAAAACTCACTCGGGTTCTGAACTCCCAGGCTCTTCTAGCATTATGCTTCTGCTCCAAATGTCATGGAAACACCATATAGTGGGTCTTCTTTTTGGACTGCCACTCCTAGAAACCTCCAGATGAATGGTGGATGATGGGAGTGGCAGTCCAAACACATTCAGGTTCTGAGTCTTGGAAGAGTAAATTAGGGGATAAAAGTGCCAAGTACAGAATCTGTAGCCAGACGAAGCAATGTTGGAATTGAGTCGAGATGTCATCTAAGGTCCCTGGAAGTCTTACCTTGGATAGACTCTTGAATCAAGTACCTTGTTATTTCCATGCTGAAGTGCCTTGTTTGATTCATGGAGTAGCAAAATAATGTTATGGTTGGGGGGTCACCACAACATGAGGAACTGCATTAAGGGGTCGCGGCATTAGGAAGGTTGAGAAACACTGTTCTAAATGAATCAGCATGGAAATAACAAGGTACTTGATTCAAGAGTCTATCCAAGGTAAGACTTCCAGGGACCTTAGACGACATCTCAACTCAATTCCAACATTGCTTCGTCTGGCTACAGATTCTGTACTTGACACGTTTTGGGGTTTTGCCTTGGAAGTTCCAGTATTTGTTTTCATGAACTCTGATGGACTATTTCCTAGCTTTGTTGTTCCTATCTTTCTTTTTTACCTAATTGGATTCACCTATTTTTGTGGATTGCTTTTTTTACTGCTGCTGCTTTTAATTATCTTCAATAAACTGCTTGCAGTTTACTCAGCTGTGTGTGGTGTTTAAAGGCAGAGGGATTTCCTGGCCTGGAGTGCAACACAACGCACCAGCACCCCTTAGTTTTGCAAGTACTTTACTACCATTTAGAACAGTGTTTCTCAACCTTCCTAATGCCGCGGCCCCTTAATACAGTTCCTGATGTTGTGGTGACCCCCAACCATAACATTATTTTTGTTGCTACTTCATAACTGTAATTTTGCTACCGTTATGAATCATAATGTAAATATCTGATGTGCAGGATGTATTCTCATTCACTGGACCAAATTTGGACAAATACCCAATACTCCCAAATTTGAATACTGGTAGGGTTGGGGGTGGGGATTGATTTTGTCATTTGGGAGTTGTAGTTGTTGGGATTTATAGTTCACCTACAATCAAAGAGCATTCAGAACTCCACCAACGATGGAATTGAACCAAACTTGGCACACCGAACTCCCACAGCTAACAGAAAATGCTGGAAGGGTTTGGTAGGCATTGACCTTGAGTTTGGGAGTTGTAGTTCACCTACATCCAGAGAGCACTATGGACTCAAACAATGATGGATCTGGACCAAACTTGGCACGAATACTCAATATGCCCAAATGTGAACCTGGTGGGGTGGTGGTGGGGGTTGATTTTGTTATTTGGGAGTTGTAGTTGCTGGGATTTATAGTTCACCTACAATCAAAGAGCATTCTGAACCCCATCAACAATGGAACTGAACCAAACATGGGTCACAGAAAATACTGAAAGGGTTTGGTGGGTATTGACCTTGAGTTTGGGAGTTGTAGTTCACCTACATCCAGAGAGCRCTGTGGACAATGATGGATCTGGACCAAACTTGGCACGAATACTCAATATGCTCAAATGTGAACACTGGTGGAGTCTGGGGAAAATAGACCTTGACATTTGGGAGTTGTAGTTGCTGGGATTTATAGTTCACCTACAATGAAAGCACATTCTGAACCCCCCCCCCAAGGATAAAATTGGGCCAAATTTCCCACACAGAACCCCTACGACCAACATAAAATACTGTGTTTTCTGATGGTCTTTGGTGACCCCTCTGACACCCCCTGGCGACCCCTCCAGGGGTCCCGACCCCCAGGTTGAGAAGCACTGATTTAGAACCATGGATTRCCCATGACCAGTAGGTACATTAATGTCATCTTGTTGTTACTGTTCTTACTATTGCCCAGTTTTCTTCCTGGGAGGCTGGGGAGACGGAGGGGTCATCAGACACATAGCCATTCAGATCGCCTGATCCCAAGCCATAGCAAACTACAAATCCCAAGGGTTCTTTGATGTGTCCATAACTCCCTTGCAATGTTTTGCCTCCCCAGGTCAACCCGACGGATAAATCCCTGGAGTTTGGGCGTGATTTCTGCATCAAACACTACGCCGGAGACGTCACGTGAGTGGCCTTTGATCCCAGAAGACATTTGACCTTTGGGAGCCCCTCGGGCCTTTAACGCACCTTCCTTTTCTCTCCTGATTCACCTGTTTGTGTATTGCAAACCCTCTCATTCTCCACATTGCAAGCCCTTTCCGTCTCCAGACGATGCCCAATGTGGTGGTACTGCATCATTATAGTGTTCTGATATTACTGGAGAATCCTGGGACTTGTAGTATCATTTTATTTATTTGTCGTGTCAGGGCAGCCAGTCAATTATATTACATTTCTAACAGAACAAAGCAAACAAACAGAGAAAATACAAAATGTGTGAGTTTGGTAGTTGATTAAATGTCCTTTGACCAGTATCTGGCCACTTGGAGTGCTTCTGGTGTTGCCGCAAGAAGGTCCTCCCTGGTGCATGTGGCAGGGCTCAGGTTGCATTGCAGCAGGTGGTCAGTGGTTTGCTCTTCTCCACACTCGCATGTCGAGGATTCCACTTTGTAGCCCCATTTCTGAAGGTTGGCTCTGCATCTCGTGGTGCCAGAGCGCAGTCTGTTCAGTGCCTTCCAAGTCGCCCAGTCTTCTGTGTGCCCAGGGGAGTCTCTCATTTGGTATCAGCCATCGGTTGAGGTTCTGGGTTTGAGCCTGCCACTTTTGGACTCTCGCTTGCTGAGGTGTTCCAGCAAGTGTCTCTGTCGATCTTAGAAAACTATTTCTTGATTTAAGTCATTGACGTGCTGGCTGATACCCAAACAGGGGATGAGCTGGAGATGTCTCTGCCTTGTCCTTTCACTATTGGCTGCTACTTCCCGAGCGGATGTCAGGTGGTGCAATACGGCTAAGCAGTGTAATTTCTCCAGTGGTGTAGGGCGCAGACACCCCGTGATAATGCGGCATGTCTCATTAAGAGCCACATCCACTGTTTTAGTGGTGAGATGTGTTCCACACTGGGCATGCAGACTCAGCAGCAGAGTAGCACAGCGCAAGGGCAGATGTCTTCACTGTGTCTGGTTGTGATCCCCAGGTTGTGCCAGTCAGCTTTCGTATGATATTGTTTCTAGCACCCACTTTTGCTTGATGTTCAGGCAGTGCTTCTTGTAGGTCAGAGCACGGTCCAGAGTGACTCCCAGGTATTTGGGTGCGCTGCAATGCTCCAGTGGGATTCCTTCCCAGGTAATCCTCAAAGCTCGGGATGCTTCTCTGTTCTTGAGATGAAATGCACACGTCTGTGTTTGTAGTATCATGATGTAGCAAGAAGGACATAGAAGTACAGTATATTGTCTCCTCTATAGGAAAAAGCAAATATAGAATAACCCTCCCTCTCAATATCCTCATGGGATGCATCCCCAAACTTCCTCGCATCTCTTCTCCTATTGATGCAACCTGGAATCGCATTGGCTTGCAGCTGCTGCATCTCACTGTTGGCAGATTAAAAGCCATACCGAACTCTCTATGAGGAAATCTTGCTGAGACGATCCCATAAGCCCAAAATAATGTGGAGGAACTGCAATGCATTGTTTGGACTCCAGTAACTTCCCAAACTATAACTCCCAGGATCCCATAGAAGGTTGCCTTGGTGGTTAAAAGGGAGTCATAGTCCTGTAAGTGTTTAAAGGGTCAGGGCCCAGGTCATGAGCAAAACCGTAGTGTTGTTTACCTATATCACAGGGCCTGTGTATATTTAACGCTCGAAAGGCCTTGCAAAACTATAACTCCCAGGGATGAACAAGGTTCCAGAGCATACAGAGAGTGTTCAGTTTTTAAAAATCATATCTGACTTCAGGGTTCTTGCTAAGTGCAAAATTTAAATTGTCACAGTTTGATGCCACCTGGAATGCCATGGTTCAGTGCTGTGGAGTCCTGGGAACTGTCCTTCTTTGGCAAAGGCTTCTGGCAAACTACAGCTCCCAGGCACCCACGGCATTGAGCCAGGGCAGTCCAAGTGGCGCCAAGCTGCATTAACTCTACAGTGTAGAAGATGTTTACCTTCGAGAGGTGTTGAAGGCTTCTTTGCATCTGGTTTCCAGGTATTCTGTGGAAGGGTTTTTGGATAAGAACAAGGACACCCTCTTCCAGGACTTCAAGCGACTGATGTATAACAGGTAAGCAAAAAGGAATAATAATAATAATAATAATAATAATAATAATAATAATAATAATAATAATACAAACCAGAGCTGACAGCTGGCYCAACAAAGCATTGCATGGGCAGTTCCTTAACAAAATTGAAGGAAAAGTTGATGAGGAGGATCCATCAAGACCTGRTGATGGATCACGAATGGACCCCTGAAGAAGGAGACAGAAGAAGGCCAGATTCTTGCAACTCAGAAGCAAGCCATCACAACCAATGCAATTCAGGCCAGGATTGAAAAATCAGCYTATGACCCAAAATGCAGACTGTGTAACGAAGCAGATGAAACCATGGACCATCTCCTCAGCTGCTGCAAGAAAATCACACAGACGGACTACAAACAGAGGCACAACTCTGTGTGTGCTGGTACGGCTGTACCAGGAGCTCCAACTTTATTTTCTTTCTGTTATCTGTTTGCAGTCATAGGGCAGGCCTCCTGTTCATCATAATTAAGCTTTGGTTCCGCCCCTTGTTCAGGGCTCTGGGAGGGAAAGGAGCCATTTTTTGGGCAGTCTCACATAAGGAAGTTAAACTATAGGACGTAGACCAGCCCGTCCCGTAGAAAAGCTTCTTTTCTCAAGAGCATCCAGGGAAACAGAGCTTCCAGGGAAAAGAAACATTTGGGGAAACAGAAATTCCAGGCCCAAGGCTCTGGCTGAGAGCTCACAGCCTCTCAGCCTCACAGCAATCAGAGGGGAAACAGCCCTGAAGTTTTCAAAGAATTCTCGGAGGGAGGACAGCATTACAGATCCACTGAACTCCAGCTGAAATATCTACAAACCTCGGCTGGTAGGTCTACTCGATACCCAGACGCATTTGGAATCGGTAGTAGGACCCACACCAATGAGGCATAGATAATAAGCAGCCTGGGAGAGGTTAAATAGGGTTTTTTCTTACAGAGAAAGTAACAGTTAATCAAAGTCATGTACCAGTCCATTGAGGACTAGACTAAGAAAACCTTGAAGTGTTGTTTGAACCATTGAAGATTTGTTGTTTGTTCCGTAATAAAGACTTTGTTGTATCATTAAAGACTCTAAAGACCATCACTTCAGAAAAATCCCTGAGAACCTCTCTTTGAGTCCCCCTGGCTTCCCACTGGACTTAATGTATACGTCCTATCGGAAAGACAGCTGTTACAGGCCCAGCGCGCGACAGAACACTGTGGCCCAGATGATTCACTGGAACTTATGCCACAAGGACCATATTCCAGCAGCAAAGAACTGGTAAAGGGATCATAAACCCACAAAGGGAGTGGAAAATGAACATGCAAAAATACTGTGGGACTTTCGAATCCAGACTGACAAAGATTTGGAACACAACACGCCAGACATCACGATTGTGGAAAAGAAAAAAGTCTGGATGATTTATGTCGCCATTTCTGGTGACAGCCGCATTGAGGAAAAACAACAGGAAAAACTCAGCTGTGATCAGGACCTCAAAATCAAACGGCAAAGGCTCTGATTGCATCAACCAGTCCAGGTGGTCCCAGTGGTCATTGGCACACTGGGTGCCGTGCCAAAAGATCTCAGCCGGCATTTGGAAACAATAAACATGGACAAAATCACGATCTGTCAACTGCAAAAGGCCACCTGACTTGGATCTGCGCGCATCAGTCGAAAATACATCACACAGTCCTAGACGCTTGGGAAGGGTGCGACTTGTAATTTTGTGATACGAAATCCAGCATAGAGATCTCGTTTGCTGTGACATACTGTGCTTTTGTGTCAGTAAAATAATAATAGTAGTAATAATAATAATAATAAAAGTCGACAACAGATCCCAAACGTAGATTCTGCAAGGAAGCAGATGAAACAAACATCCTCAGCAGCTGCAAGAAGATCGCGCAGATAGACTCCAAGCAGAGGCACAACACCCTTGCTCAGGTGATTCATTGGAACTTGTGCCACAAAGACCATCTGCCTGCGACAAAGAACAGGTGGGATCACCAGCCAAAAAAGTTACAGAGAATGAACACGTCAAGCTACTCTGGGACTTCTGGATTCAAACAGACAGAGTTTTGGAGCACAACACTCCTGACTTCACGATTGTGTTAAAAAACCAAGTATGGATCGTTGATGTCGCAATCCCAGGTGACAGCAGGATTGAAGAGGAACAACTGGAAAAGCAGACACGATACGAGGATTTAAAGATCAAACCACAAAGACTCTGGCACAAACGAGTCAAGGGGGTCCCATTGGTGATCGGCACACTGGGTGCAGTGCCTAAAAGACCTTGGCCTTCACTTAGACACAATCGGCGCTGACAAAATTACCACTTGCCAGCTGCAAAAGGCCACCTTACTGGGATCTGCACACACTGTTCGCCGATACATCACACAGTCCTAGACACTTGGGAAGGTCCGACGTGTGATCCAATACAACAGCCAGCAGAGTGATCTTGTCTGCTGTAGACTCATCTTGTTGTGTTTCAAGTAACAACAACAACAACAATCTCCTTCCCCCTTGAGATGGGATCTGCCTCTATGTGCTTGAATCAGTGCCGTTGCAACTTGCACTTGAATGCATATGGCTTATGGGCATCCTTTCTGGAAAGGCATAACCTTTAAGAGATCCTAACCTTTTGGGAAACCAGGCATCTCCATAGCTTTTCGGAGATTAAATTGGCATTCACGCTATTTGGAATAATCATAACCTTTTGGAAAGTATGATAATCCTGTGAAGAGTTAAATACTTGCTTGAGTCATTCTTCTCCTTCGTGGTAGATATCCACTAGTATCCATGCAAGGCAAATTAGGCTTCTCAGTTGTTAGACTGCTATACTTGGCTATCTCTCTGTACTGTTAGGAACAAAGACATGTCAATGCACAAAATATATAGCAGATCTTCAGAAGTGTTATTTTAGATGCCCAAAAAATACTGACTTCTCGACTGTACTGTACTGCTTGTGATGCAAGAACTAACTTCTAAAAATGGAGTCTCAGTCTGAATAGTCCCAGATCTGGTCACATGGTCTGCAGTCCCTCCCACAACCTCAAACAACATAGAGTTAAGGGGAAACTGCATATCAAAATATACATCCAATATAGTAAGCAAATAACTAGTATAGGAGGCTTGTAGAAGGTTGCAATTTCCAATAACCCCTCAGCCTTTGACCCCCAATATTTGGATGCTGAAGTGGCCATTGTGTTGAACAATCTTATGTCCTGTGGATTTTCTCTAGTGCGGACCCCGTCCTCCAGCAGATGTGGCCGGAGGGCAAGCAGAGCATCCATGAAGTGACCAAGAGGCCGCTGACCGCCGCCAGCCTCTTCAAGAACTCCATTGTCGCCTTGGTGGAAAACCTGGCTTCCAAGGTATGTTGTTGTTGTTGTTGTTGTTGTTAAAATTTATCTTTTGAATAGGAGGTGCACTTTGTGCCCAGCGGGAAAGAGAGGCCCTCAAGGATTCTCCTGTACAATAGTCTTAGAGGCTTGAAAGGTTTAACAAAGTCCTATATTATTGCACAAATTAAACAAATACTTCCCAGATCTTCAATGAGTCAAACTAATGCTTCTTAACTTGTCTACAATGGACAGGCACCTTGCTTGGAGAACAATTTCTTTCTTTAACAAGGAAAACCCTTTTTTAACCTCTCCCAGGCTGTCTACTATCTAAGCTTTGCTGATGTGGGTTCTACTACCGGATCCAAACTGCTTCTTGGGCACCGAGTAGACCTACCAGTCAAGGCTTGTAGATTCTCCAGCTGGAGTTCTTTGGGTCTGTAAAACTGTTTCCCCCGGAAATTCTTCAGAATCAGAGCTTACAGCCTCTCAGATGTTGTAAGGCTGAGAGGCTGTAAGCTCCCAGCCAAAGCTTTGGGACTTTCCCCCCGGAAATTCCCCAGAAATTCTTAAGAAATGAAGCTTTTCTGCAGGTGAAGCTGGTCCACATCCTATAGCTTAGTTTCCTTCTGTAAGACTGAACTAAAAATGGCTCCCTCTCCTCCCCAGATCCCTGGGGAAAGGGGCAGAACCAAACACAACAATGATAGACAGGTGGCTAGCCCTATAACTGCAAACCAAGGGAAGTCACCTTTTTGCAAAACCCCTGAAACCTTGAAATGCATGCAAACATTAAATAGAAAGAAAATGAAGTTGGAGCTCCTGGTACAGACGTAGCAGCACATTATTTGAAACACAACAGGATGAGTCCACAGCAGACAAGATCACTCTACTGGCTGTTGTATTGGATCACACGTCGGACACTTCCCAAGTGTCTAGGACTGTGTGATGTATCGGCAAATAATGTGTGTAGATCCCAGTAAGGTGGCCTTCTGCAGCTGGCCGGTGGTAATTTGGTCAGCGCCGATTGTATTTAAGTGCAGGCCAAGGTTTCTCAGAACAACTATCTGAACATGGGTTGTTGTAGGTTTTTTCGAGCTATATGGCCATGTTCTAGAGGCATTATCTCCTGACGTTTCACCTGCATCTATGGCAAGCATCCTCAGAGGTAGTGAGGTCTGTTGGAACTAGGAAAAAGGGTTTATATATCTGTGGAATGACCAGGGTGGGACAAAGAACTCTTGTCTGTTGGAGCTAGGTGTGAATGTTTCAACTGACCACCTTGATTAGCATTTGATGGCCTGGCAGTGCCTGGGACAATCTTTTGTTGAGAGGTGATTAGAGGCACCTGATTGTTTCCCCTCTGTTGTTTTGCTGTTGTAATTTTAGTTTTTTTAAAATACTGGTAGCCAGATTTTGTTCATTTTCATGAAAAAAAAAACCCTACAACAACCCAGTGATTCTGGCCATGAAAGCCTTCGACAATATATCCGAACACGATTTGTCAGGTGCAGGAGTTAATGAGGGAGAAGATAATAAAAGCTTAGACAGAAAGCAAAGTTGTAGTAAACAGAGGCAAAGTCTTCAGAAGCTGAGACGATCAGCTCAGTTATAGCAAAAAAGACCATTATGTGGTGGGAAAGTCAAGAAAAAGGCTCTCCCTTCAGTTTGGGGCTCTGAAAAAGCTTTACAATGATTCATGGGAGAAAGTTGCCCCACTCGGGTGAACAATGTTATTTTATCATCATCATGGTTTCAAGTGCTCTGAGTTTCATGTACCAAGTTTTTGCCAAGCTCTAGAGCAGTGGTTCTCATCCTTCCTAATGCCGTGACCCCTTAATGCGGTTCCTCATGTTGTGGTGACCCCCAACCATAACATTATTTTCATTGCTACTTCACAACTGTAATTTTGCTCCTGTTATAAATCATCTTGTAAATATCTGATATGCAGGATATATTTTCATTATTTGGCACAAATACTCGATACGCCCAAATTTGAAGGTTTTTTCAGGCTACATGGCCATGGTCTAGAGGCATTTTCTCCTGACGTTTCGCCTGCATCTATGGCAAGCATCCTTAGAGGTAGTGAGGTCTGTTGGAACTAGGAAAAAGGGTTTATATATCTGTGGAATGACCAGGGTGGGACAGAGGACTCTTGTCTGCTGGAGCTAGGTGTGAATGTTTCAACTTACCACCTTGATTAGCATATAATGCCCTGACAGCGCCTGGAGCAAACTTTTGTTGAGAGGTGATTAGATGTCCTTGTTTGTTTCCTCTCTGTTGTTGTGCTGTTGTAATTTTAGAGTTTTTTTATTACTGTGCTTTCTAATTGTCTTTGGCGACCCTTCTGACACCCCCTCGCGACCCACCCAGGCATCCCGACCCCCAGGTTGAGAAACACTGTTCTAGATTTGTCTATGAGACTTTCCTGCTGTCTTGTTTCATGGATTTCCAGTGCCTAGTTTCATGGATTTTTATGTACTCATGGATCCATACATCATATTTATCACATCCTCCTCCGCTTTCTGTTCCTCGGCAGGAGCCTTTCTACGTCCGGTGCATCAAACCCAACGACCAGAAGTCTCCCGACATCTTCGACGAGGAACGCTGTCGACACCAAGTCGCCTATTTGGGTCTGCTGGAGAACGTCCGTGTCCGGAGAGCCGGGTTCGCCTACCGCCAGCCATACGACCGTTTCCTTCTCCGGTAGGCAAGCCTCGGAACTACAATGCCCAGCATCCCCAGTGGGAGAGAGAGAGAGATTGGTTCTACCCCATCTTGCTCTGTCTCTCTCTTTGCTTGGTTTCTACCAAGCTTCTATGTTTTGGCACCACAATCTCTGCGTTGAGAGAACAGCCTGAATAATAATAATAATAATAATAATAATAATAATAATAATAATAATGTCCCCCAGTAAATGTATGGTGTAGACCAGGTGTGGCCCAACTTCGACCCTCCAGGTGTTTTGGACTCCAACTCCCACAATTCCTAACAGCCTACCGGCTCTTAGGAATTGTGGGAGTTGAAGTCCAAAACGTCTGGAGGGAGGGCCGAAGTTTGCCCAGGCTTGGTGTAGACGCAACTTTGGGTCCGGCCTCCCCAACAGTCTCAGAGTGTTGCCTTTCCCTCTGGGCGGCAGGTATAAGATGACCTGTGAGTACACCTGGCCGCACCACCTGATGGCCACGGACCGGGAGGCCACGCAGGTCCTGATGGAGCAGCACGGCTTCCAGGAGGACGTCGCCTACGGCCACACCAAGCTCTTCATCCGCACGCCTCGGACCCTCTTCTCCTTGGAGCAGGAGAGGGCCCAGCTCATCCCCATCATCGTCCTGCTGCTCCAGAAGGTATGTAGAAAGTCCAAATCATCTGGAGAAGGGTCCGAAGTTGGCCCATGCCGGTTCTGATTCCTCTGTTTTGGCAGGCTTGGCGGGGAGCCTTGGCCCGGAGGCGCTGCCGTTCCTTGCGTGCTGTCTACACCATCATGGCTTACTTCAAGCGACACAAGGTGAAGGCCTACCTGCGGGAGCTGGTGCACCGCTTCCAGGACGTGCGCCAGGCGGCCGACTATGGGAAAGGGGTGGAGTGGCCGGAGCCACCTGCTGTCCTCACCTCCTTCCAGGAAAGCAGCAAGCGCATCTTCCGCAGGTAATGGGTTAAAGCTGTTAGGAACGGTGTTGTGCCTCTGCTTGTAGTCTGTCTGTTAGGAATTGTGGGAGTATGTCACATACTGAAGGATGTTGTCCAAGATCCGTCATTATGGTCCACACGTACTGAAGGAATTGTGGGAGTTGGAGTCCAAAACACCTGGAGGGAGGGCTCAAGTTGGCCCATGCCTGGGCTCTTCTCTTAGGCGATCCCTCGTAGTCCGAGGATGATGGTCCTCCAAGAGTGGTAACCTGGGGGTGGATCCGTAGGTGGCTGTGGAGCCCTATTCTTGATCTGCATCTTCTCCCACAGTGAGGGCATTGGTTCAGGTGGAAGGCAGTCTCGGTCGGGGTTGGCTTGATGCACCTTCCTCTTGGCACATTTCTCTCTCTCGCCCTCCATTCGTGCCTCTTCAAATTCTGCAGCACTGCTGGTCACAGCTGACCTCCAGCTGGAGCGCTCAAGGGCCAGGACTTCCCAGTTCTCAGTGTCTATGCCAGAGTTTTTAAGGTTGGCTTTGAGCCCATCTTTCAATCTCTTTTCCTGTCCTCCAACATTCCATTTTCCGTTCTTGAGTTCGGAGTAGAGCAACTGCTTTGGGAGACGGTGGTCGGGCATCCGGACAACGTGGCCGGTCCAGCGGAGTTGGTGGCGGAGGACCATCGCTTCAATGCTGGTGGTCTTTGCTTCTTCCAGCACGCTGACGTTTGTCCGCCTGTCTTCCCAAGAGATTTGCAGGATTTTCCGGAGGCAGCGCTGATGGAATCGTTCCAGGAGTTGCATGTGATGTCTATAGACAGTCCACGTCTCACAGGCATATAGCAGGGTTGGGAGGACAATAGCTTTATAGACAAGCACCTTGGTATCCCTACGGATGTCCCAGTCCTCAAACACTCTCTGCTTCATTCGGGAAAATGCTGCACTCGCAGAGCTCAGGCGGTGTTGTATTTCGGTGTCGATGTTGACTTTGGTGGAGAGGTGGCTGCCAAGGTAGCGGAAATGGTCCACATTTTCTAATGTTACACCATTAAGCTGTATCACTGGCATTGGAGAGGGGTTGGCTGGTGTCTGCTGGAACAGAACCTTGGTTTTTTCAATGTTCAATGACAGGCTGAGCTTCTCGTATGCTTCTGCAAAGGTGTTTAGAGTGGCTTGTAGATCTTCTTCTGAATGTGCACAGACGACGTTGTCATCAGCATACTGGAGTTCTATAACAGATGTTGTACCTGGGCTACAGAGGTGTCAACACAGCCTGGGTCCTGCAATGCAGAGCCAACTCCAGAGTTTCTTCCTGGGTCGCCTTGCAGGTGGCGGGCACGGCAGATCGTGAGGAACATCCCTCCGTCCGACATGGAGCAGATCAAGGCCAAGGTGGCCGCCCTGGACGTCCTGCAAGGCCTGAGGAAGGACTGGGGCTGCGCACGGAACTGGTGCCGGAATTACCTGGCCTTGGTAAGCGACTCATAGGTTGGGCGGCCATCTCTTGGGAAGGCTTTGGTTGTGTTCTGTTTTAGAGAAGAGGGGAAGCTGAAGAATCTGCTCCTTTGAGACGATAAGCTCTGCAGAACGTGGGAGTCCGGTGGAACTGGAAAGTTTTAAACAGAGTCTGGATGACTGTCTATTGGGAGGGCATTGGTTGCATCTTTCTCCATGGCGGAAGGGGGTCAGACTATATGGCCTTTGGGGGACCATTCAAACTCAGGTAGAATATAAACTGCTTAGGAACCCAGTGGATCCAGAGGGTTTTAAGCAGAGTCTGGGTGGCCATCTGTTGGTTGTGCCTTTTTTACCTGGTAGAAGAGGGTTGGGCTATATGGCCTTTTGGGGCCCTTTTCAATTCGGGTACAATATAAACCGCTTGGGAGTCCAGTGGATACAGAAAATTTTAAACATAGTCTGGGTGGCCATCTGTTGGGAGGGCTTTGATTGTGCCTTTTTTGCCTGGTAGAAGAGGGTTGGACTATATGGCCTTTTGGGACCCTTTTAAACTCAGGTAGAATATAAACCGCTTGGGAGTCCAGTGGATACAGAGGGTTTTAAAAGAGTCTGGATGGTCATCTGTCGGGAGGGATCTGGTTGTTTTGTCCTCCATGGAAGAAGGGGGTCAGACTGGCTGACCTTTGGGGACCCCTTTCAACTCTGGTAGATTATAAACATTCTGGGCAGTGGATCTGGAAGGTTTGTATCTTTCTCCAAGGCAGAAGAGGGTCAGACTGGATGACCTTTGGGGACCCCTTTGGAGTGCAGGAGGGCTTTGGTTGTGTCTTCCTTTGTGGCAAAAGACTGGGTGGCCTTTCAGGGTCCCTTCTGCATCCTCGATTCCATCATCTTCTAAGGTCTTTTTGCTTTCTCTGTCCAAAAGTGCTTGTTCCTCCCCAAACTACAACTCCCAGGATCCCATTGCATTGAGCCAAGATAGTTAAAGTGGATTAAAAGTGAATTAATTCCACAGTGTAGGAAATGCATCCTTAGAGGGAGCTGAGGCTTTTGCTCTCTCCTTACCTTTGCCTTGAGCCGTTTTTTAGGGTTGCTAGGGAGTTCTAGTTTCCATAGTAACTGCCAGGGCTGTTTTTAGAGCCTGGTTTTGCTGCTTCTTCCTCCAGCAAAGTTACTGAATTCCATGACTATATATATATAATATTCGCTTGGGGACCCAGCAGTGCCCGGGTTATTTGTCTGTGCTCCAAGTTTACTCTAGAGTCTATGTCAGCTGGGTTCAGTGTATGCAGGTGAACTATAGCTCCCAAATGGTCCGTCCATGGTCCGTCCTCCTCCAAACCACACCAAGATGAAGAATGGGTCATGGGGACTCGGGTGCCAAGTTTGGTATTGATCAGTCATTGGTGTGGGTCGCAATCGTCTCAGGAAGTGAGTGAAGGTACTGCAAGTTCCATCATCCATGATCCGTTGGCCTACAAACCCCATCAAGACATAGAGTGGGTCATGGGGACTCTGTGTGCCAAGTTTGCTCTTGATCACTCAATGGTGTGGGTCACAGTGGTCTCAGGAAGTGAGTGAAGGTACTGCAAGTCCCATCATCCATGGTCCATCCTTCTCCAAACCACACCAGGATGTAGAGTGCATCATGGGGGCTCTGTGTAGCAAGTTTGATCCAGATCTGTCTTTGGTTGGGGTTGCAGTAGTCTCAGGAAGTGAGTGAAGGTACTGCAAGTCCCATCATCCATGGTCCATCCTCTACCAAACCGCACCAGGATGTAGAGTGCATCATGGGGGCTCTGTATACCAAGTTTGATTCTGACCTGCCTTTGGTTGGGGTTGCAGTAGTCTCAGGAAGTGCGTGAAGGTACTGCATGTCCCATCATCCATGGTCCACCCTCCTCCAAACCACACCAGGATGTAGAGTGCGTCATGGGGGCTCTGTGAACCATGTTTGATCCTGATCTGTCTTTGTTTGGGGTTGCAGTAGTCTCAGGAAGTGCGTGAAGGTACTGCAAATCCCATCCTCCCCCAAATGTCACTGGGGCACGAAGTGGGTCATGGGGATTATGGGTGTCAAGTTTGGTCCAGGTCCGTCATTCGTTGGGGTCGCAGTGGAAGTGTGAGCCAATCAGAAAGCTGGTACATACACACATACAAATATTCACTTTTATTATATAGATATATGCCCCACCCAACCTGACTTCAAGTCCCATCATTCCCAACCAGCAAAGCTAAGAGAACAGCATGGAGCCTTTGGAGTTCAAGTGAGGTCAAACTGCATTTATTCCAAGTGGGTGCAGTAAGCAGATTCGACCAGCGGGTGGCAGCAAAGAGCAATGTTTACATCTGATATCTTTCTATGAGCCATTGCAACAATCAGATCCCTCCCAACAGATGACCATCCAGCCTTTTAATTTTTGGGACTGCAAAACCCATTATCCCCCTCTCTTGCCAAGCCAGAGCAGCCCTAGCTCCCACATTTGCAAGCCTGGTGTATTTGAAACTGTAGAATCTCATGGAGGACTTAGAAGAGTGTTTCCCCTTCATACAGTTCCTCATGTTGTGGTGACCCCCAACCATGATATTATTTTTGTTGCTACTTCACAACTGTAATTTTGCTCATGTAAATATCTGATCTGCAGGATGTATTTTCATTCACTGGACCAAATTTGGCACAAATACCCCATAGGCCCAAATTAGAATACTGGTGAGGTTGGGGAGGGGGTATTGATTTTGTAATTTGGGAGTTGTAGTTGCTGGGATTTATAGTTCACCTACAATCAAAGAGCATTCTGAACTCTACCAGCAATGGAATTGAACCAAACTTGGCACACAGAACTCCCATGATCAGCAGAAAATACTGGAAGGGTTTGGTGGGCATCATCCTTGAGTTTGGGAGTTGTAGTTCACCTACATTCAGAGAGTGCTTTGGACTCAAATAATGATAGATGTGGACCAAACTTGGCACGAATACTCAATAGGGCCAAATGTGAACACTGGTGGAATTTGGGGAAGATAGACCTTGACATTTGGGCATTGTAGCTGCTGGGATTTATAGTTCACCAACAATTAAAGGGCATGGAATTCCCTTTAATTCCAAAGTTGGCACACAGAACTCCCATGATCAGCAGAAAATACTGGAAGGGTTTGGTGGGCATCGTCCTTGAGTTTGGGAGTTGTAGTTCACCTACATCCAGAGAGTGCTGTGGACTCAATCAATGATAGATGGGGACCAAACTTGGCACAAATACTCAATGTTCCCAAATGTAAACACTGGTGGAGTTTGGGGGAAAATAGACCTTGACATTTGGGAGTTGTAGTTGCTGGGATTTATAGTTCACCTACAATTAAAGGGCAATCCGAACCCCACCAATGATAGAATTGGGTCAAAGTTCCCACTCAGAACCGGGAACCCCCATGACCAACAAAAAATACTGTGTTTTCTATGGTCTTTGGGGATTTCCTCCCGGTATTATTATTATTATTATTATTATTATTATTATTATTATTATTTGATACACAACAAGATGAGTACACAGCAAACAAGATCACAATGCTGGCTTTTGCACTTGATCACACGTCGGACCCTTCCCAAGTGTCTAGGACTTTGTGATGTGGGAAGTATTGCTATTATTATGGTTTCCTGAGTGGGCTGCGGCCCGCACTTCAGGGAGGGCGGTAGGTGCATTATCATCACTTGCGGCACACGCTTCAGGGACGAGGAGGCTATAAATCCCACAGAGAGCCCTTGAAAAGCATGCGCCAGCCTTTCTCTATGGAGGCTGCGTGGAGGCGTGGAGGGCATCATACAACCGGGATATTTTTTAATAATGCAGTGTTGCCACGGGGACGGCACGCCAGACACGCATGCAGGAACCCCGCTTCTGCGCTCGCCTTCTGTGCAAAACCTCCTTTTCGGCAGTGACAAAAATCCCATGCCAAAAGCAGTCCAAGGTTTCCATCGAGGGGCTCACAATCCAAACATTTCCCACAGTGGGGATGATGGGAGTTGTTGTTCCAGGAAGGCACATTCTGGAAGCAAAGAGTGGGGAAGAGTTGGCTATAGATTTAATGGGGTTGTAGCAATATGGCAAGACACTGAGAATCCCAAATAGCTCGTTATGGGATGATGGGAGTTGTAGTTGGAGGCCAACACACTGGGAATCCCAAATAGCTGGTTGTGGGATGATGGGAGTTGTAGGCAAAGACATTGGGAACCCAAAATAGCTGGTTATGGGATGATGGGAGTTGTCATTGGAGGCCAAGACACGGGGAATCCCAAATAGCTGGTTATGGGATGATGGAAGTTGTAGTTGGAGGACAAGATATCAGGAATCCGAAATAACTGGTTATGGGAAGATGGGAGTTGTAGTTGGAGGCCAAGATGGTGGGAACCCAAAATAGTTGGTTATGGGATGATGGTAGTTGTAGTTGGAGGCCATGACGCTAGGAACGCGAAATAGCTGGTTATGGAATGATGAGAGTTGTAGTTGGAGGCCAATACATCGAGAATCCAGAATAGCTGGTTATGGAATGATGGAAGTTGTAGTTGGAGGCCAAGACATCAGGAATCTGAAATAACTGCTCATGGGATGATGGGAGTTGTAGTTGGAGGCCTAGATGCTGATAACCCAAAATAGCTGGTTATGGGATGATGGGAGTTGTATTTGGAGGCACTGGGAACCCAAAATAGCTGGTTATGGGATGATGGGTTATAGTTGGAGGCCAAGATGCTGGGAACCCAAAATAGCTGGTTATGGGATGATGGGAGTTGCAGTTGGAGGCCATGATGCTAGGAACCCGAAATAGCTGCTAGGAACCCGAAATAGCTGGTTATGGAATGATGGAAGTTGTAGTTGGAGGCCCAGATGCTGGAAACCCAAAATAGCTGTTTATGGGAAGATGGGAGTTGTCGTTGGAGGCCAAGACATCAGGAATCCGAAATAACTGGTTATGGGATGATGGGAGTTATAGTTGGAGGCCATGATGCTGGGAACCCAAAATAACTGGTTATGGGATGATGAGAGCTGTAGTTGGAGGCCAAGACATTGAGAAACCAAAATAGCTGGTTATGGGATGATGGGAGTTGTAGTTGGAGGTCAAGACACTGGGAACCCAAAGTAGCTGGTTATGGGATGGTGGGAGTTGTAGTTGGAGGCCAAGACATCGGGAATCCAAAATAGCTGGTTATGGGATGATGGGAGTTGTAGTTGGAGGCCAAGATGCTAAGAAATAGCTGGTTATGGGTTGATGGGAGTTATAGTTGGAGGAAAATACACTGGGAATCCTATTTTGCTATTTGTATAGAGTGTGTGTGTGTATGTAGTGTTGTGTTTGTGTGTGTGTGTGTGCGTATATATAGTGGTCATGGTTTCAAATGGGCAGTTACCTCCTCTCCCTGGCAGTGGACAATTAGAGTCATTGGGTGCCACTTCAATTGCCACAAAATCTTGGGATTTGTAGTTTGACGATGGGATGAGAGATTTCGGGCACATTGCTCCAAGGCTACACCTCCTAGCAATGGTGTAGGACTGGAATTACTCGTATTGAGAAAGCTCCCAGGATCAGAGGCAGGAGAGGAGGACTTGAATAAATGCCGTCCATCCTTTGCCGTCCATCCTTCCTTTTCCTCCCCGTTTGCTTCTCCAGGAGGACGAAAACCCCGCGATGGCCGCCCAGTTCACCAAAAGGGTTGCGACCCTGCAGGACAAGACCCGCTTCCGCTCGGTGCTGTTCTCATGCCATGTCCGAAAGGTCAGTGCAGGGCCTTGTGCCGCGCCCATTGGGGTGGGTCTGGATGGCCTCTGGAGCCCCCTTCTAGCTCTGTCCTTCTGCCCCAACCCTCTGCAGATCAACCGCTGCAACAAGGGCTCGGACCGCGCCCTCCTCCTCACGGAGCAGCACCTCTACAAGATGGACCCCAAGAAGCAGTACAAAGTCATGCGGTCCATCCCTCTCAGCATGGTGAGTTCAACTCAAGGGACGATGGGCTACGGAGTGGGTTTTAGGAATTGTGGGAGTTGAAGTCCAAAGACCTGGAGGGTCCAAGTTTGCCCAGGTCTGCTATAATGGCAGGTATTGGTGTCATGATAGCTATGACCCTTGGGGTGTCCCTTCTCTTCTGGTCTGATGGGAATTATAGTACAGCGCCTTTGGGGTCCCTGTTTGGCAAGGTGGGTACTTGCTGTGGCCCTTTGGCTTTCCTGTGACTGCTGTGGTGTTGTGGCTCACCAAGTGGCGTAGGATTTTTCTGATGGTTCAGAGCAGTGGTTCTCAACCTGGGGGTCGGGACCCCTGGAGGGGTCACGAGGGAGTGTCAGAGGGGTCACTAAAGACCAACAGGAAAACACACTAATTTCTGTTGGTCATGGGGGTTCTATGTGGGAAGTTTGGCCCAATTCTGTCATTGGTAGGGTTCAGATTGTAGGTGAACTACAAATCCCAGCAACTACAACTCCCAAAATGTCAAGGACTATTTTCCCCAAACTCCACCAGTGTTCACATTTGGGCATATTGAGTATTCGTGCCAAGTTTCGTCCAGATCCATCATTCTTTGAATCCACAGTGCTCTCTGGATGTAGGCGAACTACAACGCCAAAACTCAAGGTCAATGCCCACCAAACCCTTCAAGTGTTTTCTGTTGGTCATGGGAGTTCTGTGTGCCAAGTTTGGTTCAATTCCGTCGTTGGTGGAGTTCAGAATGCTCTTTGATTGCAGGTGAACTACAAATCCCACCAGTATTCAAATGTGGGCGTATCGGGTATTTGTGCCAAATTTGGTCCAGTGAATGAAAATACATTCTGCATATCAGATATTTACATTATGATTGGAAACAGTAGCAAAATGACAGTTATGAAGTACGAAGGAAAATAATTTTATAGTTGGGGGTCACCACAACATGAGGAATTGTATTAAGGGGTCGCAGCATGAGGAAGGTTGAGAACCCCTGGTTCAGAGGATAAAGAGATTGGTGGGTTTCAAAGTGAGGAGCCTGCTAGTGATCAGAGAGAATTGCAGGTTGACGAGGCCGACATTTGGGATTCCTGTGCTCGTTCCCGGGCAAAAAAAAGCGAAGGTTTCCGTTCCCTTGTGAAACAGCCTTCGGTCGATGGAGAGTTTTCCCGAGAAACCAGATTAGGTTTGAGAACGGCGGGAGTGAAAAATAGACTAAGTGAAAAATAGACTAATTCAACGTTCTGAGAGAATCGTGAATCCTTGAAGCCCAGGTGCGTTCGGCATGATCTCATGGCTGTTTGGTCAGGCTTAAATTAAGTGGTGTTGCCTTTACAGCTCTCAGAGGAGACAACATTGCCATACGGATGACTTTCCTGCCTTGGCTCTCAAGTTCATGGTTCAGGTTTCCTGTTCTGGTTCATGCCTTTGTTCTTTGAAGGGTTTGTTTTCATGCTTATGGATTCATGTTTGAATTACTGCTCTGGATTTTGGGAAAGGCCCTTTTCCCCTACACTTTTGTCGATAGCACTACTGGACTCTGGTGTGGGGCTAGGTGAAAAGGTGTCTCAATGCTAGAGTGCAACATGTGGCCTTCTGTCTTTCCTTGCCCAGGTGACCGGTCTGAGCGTGACCAGCGGCCTAGACCAGCTGGTCGTCTTCCACACGCAGAACCACGACGGCCTGGTGGTCTGCCTCCACAAAATGCAACCAGCCAACGACAACCGGATCGGAGAACTAGTTGGCGTCTTGGTGGAGTACTCCAGAAGGTAGGGCCTTGTCGCTAAAATGAATTCATTAACCAAATAAGAAAATCCTGGCAGAGGATGATGCCTCCATCTTCACGCCAAGCCTTCTTGTACCTTAGAGTTGGCACTGATATACGCCAGTCCTTTCCAAGGGTTTTGCCTCTCCATAATTCTCCCATTCCTCGCTCCTGCCACAATAGCGGGATGGCATGATGCACCATAACATGGTCAGTGCACAGTAGCAGGATGGCGCTATTTCATATAAATAGATAGATAGATAGTCTTAAAATGAATCTGAAATGGTGCAATTGCACCCCAGGAGACATGCAGAATATCAGAAGTGTTTGACCCATCTGTTATGTATGATAACACGACTGTAGCACAATAGCAGGATGGTGCAATCTCTCCCTTTCATTTTAAACTAGCTTGGGAATCTGGCGCTGCCCGGGTTATTAGAAAAAGTGGGTAATGATGGTTCTGTATGCCAAGTTTGGTCTTTATTGGTCATTGGATGACGGTTGCATTGTTTTCAGGAAGTGAGTGAAGGTACTTGAAGTCCCATCATCCATGGTCCACCCTCCTCCAAACTGAAACAGGATGTAGATCATGGGGGCTCTGTGTGCCAAGTTTGGTCTTGATTGGTCATTGGATGACGGTTGCATTGTTTTTAGGAAGTGAGTGAAAGTACTTGAAGTCCCATCATCTATGTTCCACCCACCTCCAGACAGCAGCAGGATATAGAGTGGGTCATGGGGGCTCTGTGTGCCAAGTTTGGTCTTGATCAGTCATTGGATGAGGGTAGCAGTGGTTTCAGTAAGTGAGTGAAGGTACTGCAAGTCCCATCATCCATGGTCCATCCTCCTTATAACTGCATCAGGATTGGAAAGAGGTGTGATAGCAAAGGTACAACTATGGTGTAATAGTGGGATGGCGTGATCGTTTCCTTTAATTTTATATATTTCTATGTATATTTGCCATGACCAACCCATCTGCTATACATGATAACACAACCATAGTATGATATAGGATGGTATCAACAACATCAACAAAAACAACAACACTTTATTACGGTCCATGACCTGACCAAAATAAAAGGATGGTATCATCAATACACACACACACACACACACACACACACACATCTTGTGATCCAATTTAACAGCCAACAGAGTGATCTTGTTTCCTGTGTACTCCACTCCTGATGGTGCAAATTGGTGCACTAGATGAGTACACAGGAAACAAGATCACTCTGCTGGCTGTTGTAATAGATCACACGTCGGACACGTCCCAAGTGTCTAGGACTGTGTCATGTATCGATGAATAATGTGTGCAGATCCCAGTAAGGTGGCCTTTTGCAGCTGGCAGATGGTAATCTTGTCAGTGCAGATTGTGTTTAAGTGCAGGCCAAGGTCTTGAGGCACTGCACCCAGTGTGCCGATCACCACTGGGACCACCTTGACTGTCTTGTTCCAGTTCGATTTTTAAATCCTCATATCGTGTCAGCTTTTCCAGTTGTTTCTCGTTAATCCTGCTGTCACTTGGGATTGCAACATTGACGATGCACACTCTGTTTTTTAACATGATTATGAGGTCAGGAGTATTATGCTCCAAAACTCTGTCTGTCTGAATCTGGAAGTCCCAGAGGAGTTCGGGGTGTTCATTCTCTGTAACTTTTTCTGGCTTGTGATCCCACCAGTTCTTTGCCGCAGGAAGATGGTATTTGTGGCACAAGTTCCAATGGATCACCTGAGCAACGGTGTTGTGCCTCTGCTTGTAGTCTGTCCACGATCTTCTTGCAGCAGCTGAGGATGGGATCGGTTGTTTCACCTGCTTCCTTGCAGAGTCTACATTTGGGATCTGTCATTGACTTTTCCATTCTGGCTTTGACGGCACTGGTTCGAATGGCTTGTTCTTGGGCTGCCAGAATCAGGCCTTCCTTTGTCTCCTTTTCCCAAGTTCCATTTGTGAGCCACAGCCATGTTTTTTCTTTGTCAATTTGGCTCTCAATTTTTCCCGTGAACTGTCCACGGAGAGCCTTCTTTTGCCAGTTTTCTCTTCTGCTCTGGATTGTGTTTTTATGGTATTTACTCTTTAATAACAACAACAACAACAACAATAATAATGTTTATTATTGTGTTTGTTATTATTATTCTAGCTCAATAGTGGGATGGTGCAATGGAGTCTTTTGGCTTTTCCTGCTTCTGTGACCACAGTTTTCTGTCTTAGAGAACGCAGGCTTGTCTTCTCTCTCTCTGACCAAAACAAATGCCGTCGAGCGCATTAATCCCAACGTTAGCCACGGTGTCGAGGCATGCGGATGCCTTTCAGCCTCCAGCTGTCTCTGCTATAAACCCACTGGGATGAATGGGTGCACCCTATCTGGGGTGGGATTATGCGCAGAGGGAGGGCGCTCCGCTTGACCCACTGGCCCCACAACACCCTCCGCAGGTGTCTGAGCCGGGATTAAGGGGGGAAAGGCGCCTCCCCGCAAGCCTTGACCACCCTATTTCCGTGACTCCAAACCTTCCGGAATGGTGTTATTGTTGTGGTTGTGGTTGTCCTGGGAGTGGTAGTTCAGCACTCTTTGGCAGAGAGGGCTAAAGGCCTTGCAGAACTCAAACTCCCAGGATTCTGTTTAGCCACAAGAGTTAACGTGGGATGAAACTGCAATAATTCTACAATGTAGATGCAGTCTAATCAGGAGTGAGGAAACATGGTGCATTCGGTGTGGTGTTTGTGTTGTGCTTGGAAATCACTAGTGCGCCGATTTGCACCATTCGGAGTGGATAGTACTAGTATTCACTTGTTGGGGAAACATGGTGTATTCGGTGTAGTGTTTGTGTTGTGCTTGGAAATCACTAGTGTGCCAATATGCACCATCAGGAGTGGATAGTACTAGTATTCACTTGTTGGGGAAACATGGTGTATTTGTTGTGGTGTTTGCGTTGTGGTTGGAAATCACTAGTGCGCCAATTTGCAACATCAGGAGTGGATAGTACTAGTATTCACTTGTTGGGGAAGCATGGTGCATTCGGTGTGGTGTTTRTGTTGTGCTTGGAAATCACTAGTGTGCCAATTTGCACCAYTGGGAGTGGATAGTACTAGTACTCACTTGTTGGGGAARCATGGTGCATTCGGTGTGGTGTTTGTGTTGTGCTTGGAAAWCACTAGTGTGCCAATTTGCAYCATTGGGAGTGGATAGTACTAGTAYTCACTTGTTGGGGAAACATGGTGCATTCGGTGTGGTGTTTGTGTTGTGCTTGGAAAWCACTAGTGYGCCAATTTGCAYCATYRGGAGTGGATARTACTAGTAYTCACTTGTTGGGGAAACATGGTGCATTCGGTGTGGTGTTTGTGTTGTGCTTGGAAATYACTAGTGCGCCAATTTGCACCATCAGGAGTGGATARTACTAGTACTCACTTGTTGGGGAAACATGGTGCATTCGGTGTGGTGTTTGTGTTGTGCTTGGAAATYACTAGTGCGCCAATTTGCACCATCAGGAGTGGATAGTACTAGTACTCACTTGTTGGGGAAACATGGTGCATTCGGTGTGGTGTTTGTGTTGTGCTTGGAAATTACTAGTGCGCCAATTTGCACCATCAGGAGTGGATAGTACTAGTATTCACTTGTTGGGGAAACATGGTGCATTCGGTGTGGTGTTTGTGTTGTTCTTGGAAATCACTAGTGTGCCAATTTGCACCATTGGAAGTGAATAGTACTAGTGTTCACTTGTTGGGAAAACATGGTGCATTCGGTGTGGTGTTTGTGTTGTGCTTAGAAATCACTAGTGCGCCAATTTGTACTATTCGGAGTAGATAGTACTAGTACTTGATAGTACTAGTACTTGTGCACTTGTGTAACAGGGCTTCGGGAATTTCGGTTTGCATATTAACTAATTAGAAATGCACTCCGTCATCAAATCTTGGAGTCGGAAGAGAACTCCCGAGGGTCATCCAGTCCAACCCTCTTCTTTCCGCCATGCAGGACAGCACAATCAAAGCCCTCTCAACAGATGGCCATCCAGCTGGAAAGCCTCTGCTTAAGGAATTTGGGTTTGCATAATTAGAAATGTATTAAATCATGGAATCTTAGAGTCGGAAGGAGACTCCTGAGGGCCATCCAGTCCGACCCTCTTCTTTCTGCCACAATCAAAGCCCTCCCAACAGATGGCCGTCCAGCTTGAAAGCCTCTGCTTAAGGAATTTGGGTTTGCATAATTAGAAATGTACTAAAATCATGGAATCTTAGAGTCGGAAGGGGACTCCTGAGGGCCATCCAGTCCGACCCTCTTCTTTCTG